CCAGGCCAGGGATCAAACTTGGGGAACTGAGCTGGTGCTGCGCAGTATTTCATTTGTGCTTTTTTTTTTTTTTATGATGAATCTAGCAAAGTCTTGTCTATCTTTAAAAAAAAACACACACAAAAAAACAGCTTTTAGCTTGATAGATCTCTTCTGTCTTTTTCACTTCTGCTTTTACTCTGATCTTTGATATTTCCTTCCTTCTATTAACTTTGTTATTCTAGTTCCTTGAAGTGTAAAATTATGTTATTTGAGATGAGTCATGTTTCTTTCTTTTTTTAAAGATTTATTTATTTATGCACATAAAACTGGGTACAGGTCAGAAGTATAGGGGGGTGAGAGGATTCACCAGAGACAGTGGGGAGCAGAATAGGCAGTATACTGCTGAGGAAAACAGTGGGGGCTGGTCAGGAGAGGTCTGCCACGCCATGTGGGTTGCTCCCTGGCTGGGGAACAAACTTGTGCTGCAGTGACTGTGACAGCTTCATAGTACTGTGCTTTAACACGTTGCGCCATCAGAGTGCCTGAGATGAGTCATGTTTCTTGATGTCAGCATTTACCTCTATGACCTTCCCTCTTTGGACTGCTTTTCTTGCATGCTATACATTTTGGGACAGTGTACTTCCAATTTCTTTTGTCTCAAAGTGGTTTTTAATTTCTCTTTTGAGTTCTTCATTGACACACTGGTTGCTGAGTAGCATGTAATTTAATCTCCACACTGTGAGTTTTTGTAATTTTCTTATGATTTCTAGTTTCATACAATTGTGGTTGGAAAAACTGCTTGGTATGACTTCAATCTTAAATTTATTAAGACTTGTTTCATGGCCTAAAATACTATCTATACTGGAGGATGTTCGTAAGTGCTTGAGAATGTATTTCTTTTGGGTGGAATGCTCTGTAGGTTACTGTTAAGGTTCATCTCATATAACATGTTGTATAAAGTTGATATTTCCTATTGATTTTCTGTCTGGATGATCTAGCCATTGAAGGATAAGGGTATTAAGGTTCCCTAACTATTACTCTATTGCTGTCTCTCCTTTTAGCTTTATTACTTGCTCTATATATTTGGGTACTCCTATGTTGGATACAAAAAAAACTTGCTAACGTTGTATTCTCTTGTTGAGCTGATCTTTTTCATTATTTAGTAGTTTCTTTAATTTTTATTTCAGTCTGTATTTTTAAGTCTATTTTGTCTGGCATAAGTTTACTAACCAAACTCTCATTTGGTTTACATTTGCATGGATTGTCTTTTTCCATCCTCTCATTTTAATTTGTTTATCTTCTTATCTGAAATGAGTCTTCCTGTTAGGTAGTATAGATGGGACTGTAAAGACACATTTTAAATAAAAGAGAGTCTTAAAAGGAGCCCGGGGAAAAAAAAATAAAACAGCAAACACCACCAACAGCTTGTTATGTGCAAAGGAATCCTTTTAAAGACATGAGCAGATTTGTTTTTTTCGTAGAGACTTTACAGGCCAGAATGGAGTGGCATGGTATATTCAAAATGCTAAAAGAGAAAAACCTTCCAATCAAGAATACTACACCTGGCAAATTTGTCACTCTAAACTGAAGGAAAGATAGTTTTCCAGACAAGAGAAGTAAAAGACATAATCACCACACCACCAAGCTGTTTTATTTTTTCCCCCAAAAGATTCATTTTTATTTATTTATGTATACAAGAACCGGGGTACAGGCCAGAGGAGCAGGGGATGAGAGGATTCACCAGAGACAGAGTGGGGAGCAGACAAGCCAATTGAAATATACTGAGGGGAGCAGCAGGTGGGACAGGAGAGGTCTGCTGTGCCAGGTGGGCCACCTCCTTGGCTAGG